AACGGAAAGAATGGGTTTCCTAAGAATTCCACCATGAAATAGCTCGTCAAGTCCGGCTACTATGGATAAAAGGAAATACGCATAGTACTAGTGGGAAATAGAAGTTCAGTGCTTGATTTAATAGGTAAGTCTTCAAAACCTAGAATTTTAATACAAACAAGTGAATAAAAATAGGATTTTAGCTAAAAATTGTAAAAAGGTGTTAAAAACGAAGATATAATAGATCAACTAAATTTTTACGATTAAATCCTTGTATTCCGTGACATCCAGTAATAATAATAATGATATAATTTATAATTATCACGGATTATTATCAAATGGGGCAGAGGACGAGCAATAAGACGATGCCTCAATAGCTAAGTGGGGTAAGAAGCAATTAATACGAGATTTGAGGCTCACTTTAGGGTAGGATAGCTGGTATGAAACAATGTTACAAAGCAAGTTTAAGGCGATTATAAACCAAGTGAAATGGGGTCACAAGAAGATATAGAAATTAGATCATAGAAAACAATCTAGAATAGATAAATGGATAGGGATAGACATAATGCTATCAAAAAAATGCACGGTTGGGACAGATCTGAGCTAGGTTTGGGCAATTTATCAATTTTTATGGTCAACACTTATGATGGCTTATACGAATAAGCTTAGCAAAGAATTGCATGGATTAAACAAACTTTAAGTTGTGGCGAAAAATGCAGCTATGAGGGGGAAAATTGGTTTATAAGTAGGTCTTCGAGGCCACCAGTAGATCATATATATGAAAAGTATTCATGCTATTTAGTTTAAGGCGGTGAAGGACATGTAGTTGAATTTTTCAATAATCATATGATTAGACTTTACGTTTCCCTTAAATGCCACATAGTCTTGCTTCACAAAATGTATTCTTATCCAGGCAATAATAGATTGCAATTTCGACTTCGTCCAGGTCACCTAAGCAACCCCTGCGGGACCTCAACCGTTATAGTGTAGCGCATAATATTGACACATTAATCACTAAGCGACACTGACACGAGTGTCCTTGGGTTCGCCATATGACGGACGAAAGCTTAGCACCTTTCCACCGGAATAGAAGGAGATTACCTCGGAAACAGCGTCAGCATGAATATTCCAGTAAAGCCAATCGGCAGCTGGTCGAGAGGAATCCACCGTCGTTTTCGGGTGAAATCGACCTTCAAATCTCTTCACCCAACACTTCTACTTGAAATGGAAGTAGGCTCAACAATTATAAAACAAGAGATTCATCGAAACCCAACTGGTATTCGCATATATTAAGCATTAACGTTAAGTAGACACCCTGAAATCGTGATAGATGGAAGATTATGCAAAGATTCGATTGAATCCTGATAACAATCAGTCTAGCTCTCTCAGTAGTAAATCAGCGAGGAAGGTAAATTTCAGGAAGTATCATCAACAACTTTTTAGCATCAAGAACTAGACAGACGATGAATAGGAAAATGCTGAGGCTAATAACCAGACACCGCCGTAAGTAGCAAACGAAACAGGAGGGAAATAATTTTTTAAGAAAAAGCTTTAAATAATCTACGATTATAGAATATTTGAAGCCCATTTGTAGGTAAATTGTCAAAAATTTGTCTGCTTATAGGTTAAAATCATCATTCTCACTACTCACCAGCAGAAGGTAGGGTTGTGATACCGAAACTATCAGGGAAACTCGTTTTATTATTTAAGAGAAGGGTCGGTTGGTGACCTAGACAGTGATACTTAGGCTACTCACGATGCCCACGTAAGCTCACTGAAATATTTATCCATAACTGAGTTATCAATTAGAATGACTGCCTTGCATCGTACACGTGTATGGTAGAATCGGATAAGCAAACGGAACACTCAACTAACGATTTATATTAACTAAGGAAAACATAATATGAAAGAAGGAGCGTAACACAGAGATGCAAAATAACCTGTAGGTCGGGGAATGGGTAAAATAAGAGCTGCTCATGAGATATTTAGTTGAGTAAACGAAGCAGTGGTTGGCGAGATTAGTCAGTACTCAAAGGGTCATATATAAGGAATTTAAAAAATACGCCAGCCAATACTCATGCTAGTATCTAGTACGAGGTGTAGAGTAGCGAAGAAATGATAAATGCTAGAAACACTCGTCAGCCGATACAGTCATGAAATACACTTAATAAGTCAAATGATGAAGGGTCTAGGATAGTGAAAACAACATAATCTGATCTTAATGACGCCAATATGCGCATGCGGAGTCCAGATGGATGTCTAAAATCGTGACTAAGGTAAATAATAGGGTATTACAGTCATAAAGGATCCATCTAAAACCACTTTATCAGTGCTTATAATTTTTACATAGAGGATACTATAAAGGCCAAAATAGCTTCGTATCTCACCACTTGTGAGACAACTCAGAATATTTTAAACAACCTTAGTAATAGGGGGAAATTTTAAATAATTGGAACAAACAGCAAGCCATCTAAATTAAAACAAAATAAAAAATCTTTAAAAAAGATAATGCAAACCTGCTTGTGTGGAGCAAAGCAGGCCAGTATGCTTTCCTCGGGCGAACGTTGAGGGCCGAACAGATCGTTGGCTAGCTGGCTGAAATGGTTAGCTTCGGATGTTCTTCTTGTCGGTGGCTGAATGTTAGTTGGGTAGAGGGCACCAGCAGGAGAGTTGGCGCTGATAGCAGACGGAGCTGGGGGTGGTTGAGCCAGGCAGAGGAGGCCACGGGAAGTCATAGGACAAGCAGACGGCACCGGTTGGGAAGCAGCCGCTGAGAAGCTGGAGGAAGAAACAGAAGAACCTGTCTCGACAAGGCTAAGACCTTGAGGGCCAACTTCCATAGTGCTGCAAGAAATGTTGAATTAATTCATATAAAAGTTGTGGATAGAAGTGAATATGAGTGACAAGAGGTATTAAATAAAATAAGTTATTATAGGATATAAATTATCTACTACACTTGCGAACAAACAGAATAACAATGAAGCGTACATAGAGCTGTAGCTTGAGGCGGAGATAGTCAATGAAGCCATTTGCCCTTCTATACAACTAAAGAATACAAGCAAGGTTAGGTTGTCTTAAAATTCTCTGAATAACAATATGCTAAGAAAAATAGGTAAAAATTCGTCCTAGATACCTCATAAAAAGAGTACGAGGCTTTGCTTGGCGACAAAAAAAGAATCTCAAAGTTAAGAACTGAATCAGCCACCGTAAAGATGGCATAATGACGATATTATTTAGTTATGATCAAGTCAATATAACAAAGCCAAAAATGGGACAACAAATCAACTTACAGTATATGCAGATCACAAACTAGACCTTCTTGTAAAGTGGGAGTATGAACTAGCTCAGTTTTATCCATCTTGACTAATGAGTAATAAGCTCAAAGTATTAGAGGGTTTCAGCCCATCTCCAATTCTGATAGAAGCATGCACAAAGGCTGAGGTTCAAATGCTTATTAATGTAGATATAACTGAAGCAGGATCAAAGCCTGCATACAAGTTAGTCTATGAAAATAATGCGAATTCGAATGTCAGTACTGCATCAATGTAAATCCTCAAACATGAATCTTCGATTCCAGTGTAAATTAAAGTTCATCTAGACCAGAAACTCTCGAAGCGAAAGGTGGATGGAAATGTTTGTTTACCAGTGAACAAAAATTTTAGGTCAAAATACTTTATGAATTGTATTTACTCTATTTCGTTTAAGATTATAACGGTCTGACAGATGATTTTTCCCACAATGATATGAGTAGAGTTAATGTTTCCATTGAATTTGACATAGCCTTGCTTTCCCAAAAGATGTTCTCATCCAGGGTGTACTGTAGTTTCGACCTCGCATAAGCCTTATCAACATCCCAAGCGAGAGTCGAACCATGACAATGCTCTTGTAAGTTCTACATGTTAACCACATTGCTCCGAGTGTCACAGAATGTGATATGGAAAATGCCCGACATTCCTTGAAATTTACATCTGCCCTGTGACCTAAAGGAAATCATGGCAATGTGGCGTAGTGGTTAATGTGTCGAGCTTACAGGCTGCACTGTCATGGTTAGACTTCGGCTTGGGGTGTTGATAAGACCTATGCGAGGTCGAAGCTGCAATCCACCCTGGATAAGATCATCTCTTGGGAAAGCAAAGCTATGTGAAATTCAATGGAAACGAAAGCTCTACTCATATCATTGTGAGAAAAATCAACTACCAGCCCTTCAACTTAAACGAACTAGGGCGAATACAGCACATAAATCTGATTTAAAGGTAATCTCGAAAACATATTCACTTACAGAATTCTTTAGTATGAACGATATGGATGATGGAATTTTTGAGAATCTCTCCTGCTACCTAGATATTTTTAGTTATAAAAAATATAAAATGAACTTGTTTTATGGAAGGAAGTCTTGATAGTGCTAAAAGAGAGGTAGAGAGAAATGCAATAGTTCATAATATTAGAAATAGGGCGGGATGCCTAAAATGTTGCAAACGATTAGTCAAGATAAAGTCTTAGAAGTTACATCAAAATAGCAGTCATTAAGATAAATCGTGCCAAAAAGAGACTAATAATATAGAGATTGGCTCCGGCAGTGCATCAGAGCATTAAGATGGCTTTAACTTGTGACAATTAAGTAGATTGGATAATTCCTAGCCCCCAAAACTTTTGGCTATTATTTCTTATTTACCCATGTCAATGAGTGTGAGAGACGCCAAGAGCGTACTAGAGATCAAGATACTCTATTCATGGGGGTTATTGAAAAAATTCGACAAGCAGGGGTTGAGAAACGGCTTGCTTAAGTTCACATCGGCATAAATCGGTTATTCTGATATGATTATGCATTGCGCTACTCAACTTTGGACCTAATCGATGCACTCTACTAAGGTTTATATGGCGTTACCAAGATTTTCCCCAATGAATCCCACGAAAGAGCATTCACATAACGGCGTGCGTAAGCTATGTAAGAAAATGGGAAATCGGTGAAAACAAGTGGCATTTTAAGTTACTTAAAGTCAAGAAAAGCGTGAGGCTTTTACTTTCTGCAACATTTTTATCGGTTCGAAAAAGGGTGTTAAGTATAGCTCTATGCTTGCGGTGCATAAATTACCAGTTAAGACGAATAGAATAATAAAATGATCAGTGATTGTATAACCCTAAAAAATCCTATGAATGTTTTCGAGTAAAAGTAAGAAAAAGTGTGTTAGAAAACAAGGAAATGAAGTGAGGCAATCCGAGCTAAAAACTCACCGAGGCGAGACAAGCATCAGGTGTCGTCTTGCTGTCTCAGGTTGACTGGCAAGCAGGTCGTTAAGCAGCTGGAAGAGTTGCTGCGGTCTAGAACGTCGCCAGGCCATGTAAGCAGGAGGACAGTTGGCTTCCAGAGTGCTGGGAAGAAGAGGCCCCAAGATATGACATAATGGAGGCGCCTGGAAGAGGGATGGAGATGACAGATGGTTTTACATGTATATGTAGTGAAGGTGTCACGTAGTAAAGAAAAGTATAGATGTGAGACGAAAAAATGCTTATACAATTTTGCGGTTGCGAAAAACGCCTTCACACAAAATTATGCTCATGTTTATAAAAAATATATTATGTAGGCTAGTATCAGTCGGATCCCACTAAAAAAAGAATAAAAAATCAGGGGAGAAAGGCAAATTCTTATAATTTACTTCTTCTGATTTGAATTTGGCAAAAAAATGCATGCCTTTAATGTGATGAATAGAGAAAACAAAGAATGCAAATAATAATAATAATTAAGCCATTCGAAAATTCGAAAAAGAGGTCAGACCAATTCTTTACAGTGAAAGGAAACTGCGACAAAGACATGGACCCCACCAATTTGGTCTTAATACTTACAATTAAACTAAATGGCTTCAACATGAACTTGTTCAATAATTTGCAATACCCTATCTCTACACATATTTATTATAACGATAGTCTCATACTCGATATTTGTATCCTGCTTCTGAAAATGATCTTGCACAAATACAATTCATGAGCAGTTCTCCTGCCGAGTTATCTGTTCACGAATCAATTAATTGCTACCGACCGTTCCGCATTTTAAAGTTACTGTTAGCTTGAGGCCTTGACAAGAATAAGTTACAGTTCTGATAGTAGCCGTCATATGACGAAAAAAACTTGGAATAACCTGAAACGAGGGAGTAAATATTGTGGACTGGGTCAACATGAATGTCGTAGTAGAGCCAAAAAGTATAGAGAAAAACGAAAATTAGTCGTCGTGTTCCAGTGAGATCAAGCAACAAATCTATTCAGCATGCACTATCATACGAAATAAGAGTTTCCACAACGACAATGTTAACAAGTTGTAGTAAAAATTCAGGTCACCACTTCAAATACAGCGATTGAACCTGCGATATCTGGACAACTATTCTGTAATCTGATCACGCAGTAGAAGCATTTGGATAATATCTTAAGTTTCCTTAATCAGATCGTCAGAAAAGTGAAATTCACAATAGAGATGGGAATATGCACAATGGTTGATGTCTACCTTCTTATGAATTGATCTGGAAAATAAAGATGCTGCTAATGAAGTTGAATATTCATATCAAAGGATATTAACAAAACAGGAATAGGCTAATGAAATTAATTGTTAGATGGTTTACCGTATTAACTACAACGACAAATGTGCATGAGGCAAGTGAAGGGGACAATCAACATAGAAATTAAGAAACATCCGCTACAATCCAAACTCATGAATATGACAAGATCGGAAATTATAAAAGACGTTGCAACGACCAGTCATAACATCGACTAGAATGCAACAAAATGACAGGCTCCATATGTCAGAAATACAAGAAAAGAAAAGGTCAGTGGATCTGTGGACATCCCTGATAAAAAGAACCTAATGAAGAGATTGGAATCGCTTACTGTTTATGCAAACTCCGAAAGACCCAGAATTCAGCGAGAACCCCAAAAAATAGACTCCCGAATCAAGGAAATCACTGGAATAATAGGAAAGAAGGCATCGCCAGGAAGGAAATGTTGAAGGAATGCGAGGGCAGCGAGAGGATTCGAATCTCAGATCAGATTCAAAAAAGCTGCCGTAGCGGATCCATCTGAGGACAATGGATCACAAGCGCCCGGACAATTACTAATATAAATGCCAATTTCAGAAGCTAAATCGACTCTAATGCATTCGGTGTTGTGCAGTTTTGGTTGAAAAGAAAATTTTCGTTGGCTCCCGGTGCATATGTTAGGTGTGTGAGGTAGGGGAGGGTAGCCCATTGCATTCCTGACAGTTATTTACTAACCAACGTATACGCGCCAAACTGAGTCTAGCCTCAGAATCAGGTGGGACTAATAACCTGAGAGAAAAAAAGGGTTTTACTCGATGTGGGGTGTGACAAATGAAGTAGTACCCAACGTTACCGATAAAAAAAGAAACAAGATAAAAGGGCCCAAGAGAATGTAGGCGCATGAAGTAGAGTTTGGGTGATGATAACGAGGACCTAGGATCTCTGAAGCATCGGGGACCTGATAAGTGAGGCAGTCCTAGTAATCAAAATATGAGAACAATTCCCTCTAAGCAATTGCATATGTTTCATCATAATTAATGGCCCAGTCTTATGAATATATTTTTGAGTATGGCGGAACCAAAAGGGTCTGTAAGATAAGATGGAGATTTTAAAGTTCCGCCGAGAACAGCTCAGAACTCGGGTGATTTGTATGGCTAAGTTGAAGTGACAAGTGAAAACCAGAAATAACGCGTAAGCATGCGAAACTGGGTGATAGGACATTCTTGGAAAAAATTGAAACAGACGCGCTAATATGTAAATTAATTGCATAAAAAATTAGGCTAGTAATTGTCTTCAACTGTCACTAACACATGTTAACTCGGCTCTGACGACGCCGACTACGATGCTGACGAGGCTTCTAGGAATGTAGCAGGTCAGTGTTCCGATGCTGGAAATTAGCATAGCTACTATGGCAAAGGACGAAAAAATGGATGTGTTATTCAACTATACCAATTTGAAATGTTGTGAAATGGACCGAAAAGAAAAATTATTCATACGATTTATTAGGGGTGAAGCTGATACTTTTTATATCATTAATTTGGAATCTATTCTCCAAGAGATATACATTATTGCAAAGGTGGTGGTTATAAAAGAGAACACCTGTTAGGCGTAAAAGAAGATAGAAAGCAAGGTTTGACGTAATAACCAAAACAAACAAGTAGCGCAGGGCTAGTGGGCGCTCACTTGCGTAGAACAGGTAGAACCATTGGCTGACAGCATTGCCATGGCTGTAACAAATTGTCCCGAACCGACCGGTAGACAGCCCAGATCGTAGTATACAAGGCGGCCATTACTGGCCCGCAGGCCTATACGGCGAGCAGGACGACTGCTGCCGGGAGCACAACGAACGCGCTCAAGACGGGCTAATGCACCAGCAAGGCCAAGTTGATGCACTGGCGAGGCCGGCAATCGGCCGGGCGGCAGAGGACCTACAGCCCTGAATCGACCCGGCGTCTCACCCGGAAGATCGAGGCAGGCAAGGGGTGGCGGCGGTGGTGGCGGTGGCGGCGGCAATGGCTGGGACGACGCAGCGGAGGACGAGGGGGCTGATATCGAGACGGATGGAGAAGCGACAGTGGTTGGACATGTGATGCCTGGCTGGCCGGAGCCTTGGTTCGAGCCAAGCCCGGTGCCCGGGCCTGCGGCAGTCTGAACCGGTGTCAAGCCAGGCGTGCCAGGGCTGGCTGGCGGGCCAGCGAGCATGGAGTTTGTAGATACAGGCGGGTAGGTAAGGGATGCCAGTTCGAGGAGGCCGAGTGCTCCCCGATCTGCCATGTGTATACGATGAGGCAGTCTGGCCACTCGAGCCTCTAGCCAGGGTAAGATACGATGCGTCAATAGACGCATCACTGACTAGAATGACCATCCAAGCAGATATAAATATAAGAGAGAAGAATGAGAGCACGTAAGAAATAGGCGGTAGATATTAATGACAATAACATCACGTTGTGGACAAAAAGTAAACAAGAGGAGACAATAGCGTATAGAAAATTTATAAAGTAATAAATAGTCCTTTCAGAGCACGAATATATATATATACAGAGGATGTTTAGTTGGTTTGACCAAAAAATAACTAATCGAAAAAATACCGTCTTATATGGAGTCAAAGCACAACAATGCTCAAAATAGAGGTTGTTTGGCCTTGTTTTCGCAACATGGTCATATTGGTAGGAAGACTTAGAGGAACGAACCTAGTCCGGAGTCAATTGTATGCACGATAATTTCCAAAGTCGGACCGTGGACGTGGTACATTTTCAGACGTTTCGCAAGAATAGTAGTCGGCATCATCAGTGATCCTTGCTATTCTCAGCGTCAAGCTACAACTCGATCCTTTGAACAATTGTCTGCTAAACAGTTGTGGTATCTCTCCTGTCCTGGAGTATTCATCTATTCTATATCCTCGTTCACCCCCTTTAATGTCACAATTTCGTACTTGTTTATCTAAACCTAGTTGAAGTGTGGCCTTTTGACTGGATTTAGTGAGACCCATTCACACTCTCTACTGTGCTGGGAGCGTTGATC